CCCCCCCTTCCATATTATCTTTTTCTTGATTAGGTCGCCACTACCCTCCCCTAACCACTTAAACTCCGGTTAGGGTTTTCTTAGGGTTTTTCTAGGGTTTAGGGTTCTTCTAAACCCCCTACTCTCCCGCCTCCTCCCGTCGGGCACCCTGGACCCGAACGGCTCCTCCCCCCTCGAGCGATTTGGCGCGTTCTTCTCACAGGCGACCCGCCAAATCCGGGGTGAGCCGACTGACACATACTCACTCCGCTCCCGCGGTCCCCTTTCTATTATCGGCGGGTCCCTCTCCCCACACACCTCCGTGAGCTCTACCTCCCTTTCCCTTCCGACCATGGAAGGGAGTTCCTTTGAGGAGATCACCGCGGCGCCGTCCACCTCCCAGGTGAGCGTTCAGCGAGCGGGTCAGGGTCAGGCCCATGCGGACCCGATGGACCTTCATGCCACCCTCGTAGCGATTCAGGCGCAACTTAGTACGCTTGGACCGTTGCAAGCGCAAATCAATGCGCTTGCCCTTGACGTCAACTGCCTCAAGGGCTCTCCTCATCACTCTCCCCACCGCTCCCATACCCCATCCCCTACCGGCTCTGAGTCCGGCTCCCCACGACTCCAGAGTCGGAGACATAGTGGTTCCCCCTCCTCTACGGGCCAGGCCCAACACTCCCCCGCAGCAGTGACGAGTGCTGCTGCCGCTCAGACCACCCCGTCTGTTGCGGCAGTTCTCCCGGCCACGGCCGCCCCTACCGTCTCTACTACTGCCGTAGGTGCTGCGGTCCAGGTACCGCCTCGAGGCCCAGCAGTTTCATCGACCCACACCGGTGTTGCTTTCCAGCTTCCCGCACCGGTCGCGGCAATACGGCTCCGCCCTCTTCTTCCCGCCTTTGTCCCCCCACCCCCACAGCAGGGTACCGCCCAGGCTGGGATTCCTTCTCCCACTGGGAGACCCGCTCCGGCCCCTCACCTCTGACCCCGCGCACCCAGCGCGTGGCCACTTTACAGGCCACCATTGCCCAGGCTCAGGCGGAGATTCTCGCTCTGAGACAGCCTCACCCATCACAGGCTGCCCACCCTTCTTCCTCTACCACCCCTTCGGTCCCCATGATGCAGGCTCGTTTCCCTTGACCTGCTCCTCAGCCTCTTCCCTCCTACCTGGCTATTCCGGGACAGCTGCCCGCGGCCGTTGCCTCCTCGTCTGCTGGTCCATCCGCTAGCGCCCACGGCCCACAGCCTTCCCCCACCTCTGCCCCTGCAGCGACCTCGACTTACGCTGCCGCAGTGCACTCGCCTCGATCTCTCTCCCCCCGCCATTAGCACAGTGGACATCCTYCTGTGYGCACCACGGAYATTYCCGAGTATGATGGCACAACCCGTGTCTCTCGCTGGTTGCAGATAGCAACGCGCACGCTCTCTATGACGACCACCCGTCAGGAGTTGTGGTGCGATGTGCTCGCAACCAAATTGCGAGGTAGCCCTTCCACTGCGTGGGAGGATCATTATACCCAGCGCCTCCGCGTGGGTGAGGTCCCCACTCTGGCCAATTTCGCGGCCTTCCTTCAGGACCATTTCGGCGCTCGTCATGACGCCACCGACGCCTTAGACCGCGTCACCCAGACCAGATGGTCCGGGCCCTCTGTACAGGCCGACCTGGAACGTCACATCCGGGTGTTTCAGGACGCTCGCCTTGTTTGTGACGAGACGTTCCTACCGGAGGTCACACTCACCGACCGGTTCCTTGTCAGCCTGCCGACTGACTATCGCCTAGAGCTATGGAGGCGATCATTCTCTTCCGCGGAGCAGGCATAAGAGGCTGCACGTCAGTACCAGAGGATGTGCAGTCGCTTCTCCGTCGCCCCATCCTCTTCGTGGTCAGCCGCCACCTCTCAGTCTCGGGGTACCACCCGAGGTCGCTCTTCGTTTGCTGGTCGTTTTCGTCGCCCGACCCGCCCTGGAGCGTCATTCTCTCAGCGCTACAGTTCTCTGGAGTACGGCGAGGACGCCTCGGCCGAGTTTGACCCTACCCTTGGGGACGCTCCCGAGGACATCGAGCTACGAGACGTCATCTTGTATCACTTGGATGACGACACTATTCCAGTGGCCGAGCGCTTGCTGATGGCCATGTCTGCCATGGGTCGTGCTCGTTGTCGGGTTGCACAGGCTGGCGCCCGCACACCCACGGTTCCTCAGATAGACCTCCCGCAGGGTTATGTCCCTCCTCGCGGAGCTCTATCCCCTGAGGAGCGTGCCGCCCTCGAGGCCCGGCGCGACTGCCTTCGTTGCCGCCTAGATGGACACACCTCCTCACAGTGTCCATACCATACCGCCCTCGATCGGCACTACGCTGACATCTCTCGTCAGTGTCGATCTCAGTCCCCCCCCGGCCCCGCCCGGCCAGCCCCATCCACCTAGCCACGGTGCACTGTGCCCCTGAGGCCTCGCACGTAGCCGGCTTTCCGACCACCGAGTCGCGGTTTGCCCCTTTGGCTACCCCACCAGAGGACCCTCAGGACACGATAGACGCAGTTCTCTCCGCCCCATCGTCTATCGAGGTACCGTCTGCCTCCCAGCAGACTGCTGCATCTAGCACTTCTCGCTTGAGACTTCCGACGCGTCGCGCCATTCGCACAGCCCGTTGTGGCGCTCAGCTGGCGACTCGCGATGACGTTGTGTCATCTCTCATGGACTTGAGCATTCTGCAGGCTCGTCAGGAGCGCCTCACGAGACACATCAACGTCCTGCGTCGTCTTCTCGCCTTGCTCTCTGACCCTGATCGCAACCTACCCATCATCCCTATTCGCCTAGGGACATCTACGAGGGTGTACCGCGCTTTATGGAACTCTGGCTCGCAGGGAGATTTCGTTCACCCTCGAGTGGTTGAGGAAGCTCGCCTAGCTACCTCTGGGTCTCGCTCTCCTATCTCCGTTACCCTCGGAGATAACAAGACGCAATGCTTCTTCGATCAGACAGTCCCCGACCTCCACTTCTCCCTCACCCTCCAGCCACCGGATAGTACCCAGGCGCCTCGACGCTACCATTCCTCCGCCTACTTCGACGTGCTGGAGACTGGGTACAACTTTATCCTTGGCACTCCCTGGTCTCGCCGGTTCCGTAGCACAGAGGCCGAATGGGCGTTTGAGACACTCATTCTTAAAACGAAGTGTGGTCAAACCCATCGAGTCCCCTTCATTGGAACCACAGGCGACACCCCTCCAAACCTACCTCCCAAGGACCCTCGTCCTTCTGGGTCCCACCCAAACATCTCCTTCACTTCTCCCCGTCAGTTTGCTCACTTCATCCGACAGGAGGACGTCACGCTCTACTCAGTGAACGTCATGGATCTTCTTCGCTACGATCCACTCTGTCCCGAGGTTGAGCTCATCTCACTGGAGCCCGATCCCCCTGACCCTTCCTCCATCTTCGCGGCTCCCATCTCTACATCCACCCCGCAGCCTGCGGATACCTCCTCGACATCCCAAGTTCCTACGCCGTCCACTGCCGAGTCCACCCATACGTCTTGTGCCGACGCAAACGTTGAGGAACTCATGCGGTTCACGGCTGACTTAGAGCCCGTCATTCGCGACCTGATTCGGGAGTACCGCGACGTCTTTCCCCCGTATTTCTCATACAGCGGGATTCCCCTGACGCGTGGAGTCGAGCATTCCATCCAGCTCGTGCCTGACTATCGTGTTCACCATTAGGCACCATACCGACTCTCGATTCCAGAGGCGACGGAACTCAAGCGTCAGCTTGAGGAGCTCCTTCGACTTGGTTTCATTAAACCTAGTAACTCCCCTTGGGGTGCACCTGTCCTCTTTGCTCGCAAAGCGGACGGAACTCTCCGCCTCTGCATCCATTATCGTGGCCTTAACCGTTACACGATTAAGAACAGCTATCCCATGCCCCGCGCAGATGAGCTGTTTGACCGTCTGGCAGGCAACCGCTTCTTCACGAAGATCGATCTTCGTAGCGGTTACCACCAGATCCGCGTTGCC